AAAAAGACAGTATAAGTTATTATAATCCGTAATTATGTCCCCACTGGATGCAACAAATGCCTCGTTTATAATGTGTTTTATTGTTTTTGTCTCGTCGCTCTGGCCGGGACATGGCATCATAGTATGGTAAGGGAGGTAACATTTCCGTCACACGCAGGTATTCGGCCAATCACAACCCACTGGATAGCCGGCCAATCACAGCACACCTCGCTTTTCAGACCGATGAGCTTTGTAAAAATCGACGCGTTTCAGAAAGGCGGGTAATAGAAGAGAAACAATAATGTACAGTATGTGGAAAATAATGTGTTTTTTGAACCTTAAACCGCATAAACAAATTTCATTACACCAAATACACAAAATAATGTTATTTTAGCAACATCATATGACCCCTTTAATCTCTTATAAACTTCTAAACGCATAAAAAAGAGACTAATGGAGCATTTTCTTGATTTTCTCTTTCTGTCTGGCACTAGTGCATTCTCTTTCTTTGATTGACAGGATCTTGGCTCAGCTGGGTGGAGCTTCATTCTGGACACTTGAGGGGCCCCACAGCTGCAGAGGCTCATGGGAAGGGGTCTGATTGGCTGCCTGTCAGGACCCCTTCCATGGTCTTTGTGTTCTGAACTAGTATAACCCAAGTTTTAAACCAGCCTCACATTTAGTGGCCAAATCCAGGCTTCTCAAACTGATACAGAAATCATTTACTCACCCTTTTGTCACTTTAAACCAGAGTATTAATTTCCTTTGTTGATGTTGGGCAGAATATCCAGGCTGCTCTTTTATTGTTAACTGCTTTGCCCAAAAATGAAAGCCTTAGTCTTCATTGTATGAAATGGAGTAGCAAAATATCTTATTTTGCATTCCAGTCATGCAGGTTTGTAACGACATGACGGTTAAGTAAAAGATAACAGAATTGTCATATTTGGTGAGCCGTTCCTTTAAAGCCATGGCATTAGCTTGGCTCAAACTTTCTGCTTTTAAAGCCCAACATAGCCGACTGCAGTGTGTGAGTGTGAGGGTCCAGTCAAAAATCCTTTGACATGTTTCCAGAGGTTAATCTATGAGTGTGTGTCCTCCGCTATAACTTTCACACTGTTTTTATATTCTCATGTTCGTCCACATCAGCAGAGTTTTCTCGTTTTATAGTCTTCGTATCTCTTTCTAGCTCTGTTCTGTCTCTGTGGTGGCTTGTGTGTATTGTGTGAGTGACAGACAGTCTTTGGCTGCTCATTTGGGTATCATTTCATAAAGCGGCTCCCACCCATAATGCAGCTGTGTGTGTGTGTGTGGTTGGAGTTCTGCTTAGCATTACTGCTAAATATGTTGGTCAGTCTTTGTGCAGTTAGGGATGTAATGGTACACGTATGCACAACAAACATTTTCCGTATGGGTTTTTCGGTTCGGCATGCATGTCCATGAATATGTCGGAAAAATAATGGAGGACAGTGATAAGCTGCTGTGGGAATATTACATGATTTAAGTTGTCCTGAACATGAGATGTGCTTTATATTAAGGGCTTCAGAGTAACTCATAAGCATAGGGTTTAAAGCGGCTTGCTCTCCTGTCAGATGCGTTTGCTGCTTAATCCATTTGAGACATGTTTTTTTTAGTGCATAACTTGCATCTTACAGTTGTATCTTTATCTGTAAATGTTAGAAAGTCATGCTACTATTTCCATTTTGCATAAAGGATCATCCTGACAGTAAGTGAAGAACCACACGCATACACTAATAACAGATGGAGTGCAATAATTCTGAGTAAAATATACATTTTGCCTAAATATTTTGCATCCAAAAGTGGAAGCACTTTAAATCTCTTTACTAATATACAACAGCACCATAAACTGCAGTATGAAGTGTGTGTTGCAGCAGCATTGGCAGAATTGTTTTTAAATCTAAAGACAGAGACATAATTTGTTCAGTAAATTACTGTTTAATAAAAAAAAAGGAAGAAATAAGCAATTTAAAAATGTTCCCATTGATGTACCAAACATACCAAACTAAGCCTCAAAAAAGAAGCCTCTAAGCCTCCATCATTTTTGTGTACCATTACACCCCTAGTTAGAACATACTATGCTGTTCTTAATTGCTTTGAGCAGTTTAGGTTGTTATTACTATGTGTTTCTAAAGTGTTTTGAGTGGTTTAGCTTGTTAACTTACTATGCTCTAGCTAAGGTGTTTTGAGTGATTTAGGTCGTTACTCTGTGGTTGTTAAGGTGTTTTGAGTGATTTAGGTCATTACTATGTGGTTGCTAAGGTGTTTTGAGTGATTTAGGTCATTACTATGCAGTTGCTAAGGTGTTTTGAGTGATTTAGGTTGTTACTCTGCTGTTTCTAAGGTGTTTCTGAGGAGTTTTGGGCCATTACTATGGTTGCTAAGGTGTTTTGAGTTATTTAGGTTGTTACTCTGTGGTTGCTAAGGTGTTTTGAGTGATTTAGGTCATTACTATGTAGTTGCTAAGGTGTTTGGAGTGATTTAGGTTGTTACTTTGCTGTTTCTAAGGTGTTTTGAGTGGTTTAGGTTACTATGTGGTTACTAAGGTGTTTTGAGTGATTTAGGTTGTTACTCTGCCATTGCTGAAGTGTTTTGAGCATTTTAGGTGTTTTTTCTAATTTTAGGCTGTCACTATGTGGTTGCTAAGGTTTTTTTTTTTTTTTTTGGCACATTGCT